CTGGGGAATTCTGGGAGTTGAAGTCCACATGTCTTAAAGTTGCCAAGGTTGAGAAACATGGGTCTAGGAACTCTTTGAAAAGCGCAGCCTTCTGCATCCTTGTTGCTCTCCAAGCTTTTGAAATTGTGCTTCTCAGAATTTTCAACCCTTGCTTTTGTTGGCTGGGCATGGAGAGGCTGTGGTTGTGGGCTGAAGGCTGAATAAGTATGTTAGCAAAAATGGTTATGTTCTGATTATCAGGAAGTGAAAGAGTGAGGGACACAGTGCTCGAATGATGGAGTGCCCTTTGCCTTTCTGTTGAATGTTTCAACTACAGTTTTGAGTAGGCAACGCAGGGCGTGACCGAGAGAAAAGGAAAGGAAAGAAAATTAAATCTACACTACACCAATACCATTAAATAGCTTTGCTTCCACCATCAATACTGCATTGCCTCTGGTTCTTCCAACATCTAAACTTCTCAGCTGTCTTTCTGGGGAGGTCATCAATTTCATCCAACCACCATATTCTCAGTCTTCCCCCTTCCTCTCACTCCATTCACTCTTCTTTTATACATTTCTTTTGCAGTTTGATCCAATTAATTCTCTCCATAGGACCAGACTATTTCAAAATATTTCTTTTGTACTGGTCACTCATGTTTGCATTCAGTCCACATTCATTGAGTACCTGTTCATTTTTTACCCTATCTCCTGTTTTATCCTACACGCTTCTTTAATATCCCATCCCCGCTGTATTCAGTGTACTTTCATGTTTCTCCTGAGATAGCCACTTCCTACTTTTCATGCGCAGCAGCTTTTGTACACTGCCATGTTCGCTTGTTTCAACAAACATTTATTCTTCACAACAGTCTACATACAACACAATCTTATTCCAACCTAACAGCTCTGAAGTTCTATGTGCAAGATCCACTGAATGCTTGAGTTCTGTGCTACTGTTGGATAAGGGTATAAAATGGGCTACCGGATAGTTGAAGACCACAACTGCAATGTGTTTTTTTGCACTTGAGAATGCCACAAATTTAACCCCTTGGTATCTTCATTATTGCAGGTAGTGTTACCATATACCAGTAAGAGTTGCATGCGAGCAGTGCTTGAGTACCTATATACTGGCCAGTTTTATTCTTCTTCAGACCTTGATTACATGAAGCTCATCATCTTGGCCAACCGCCTGTGTCTGCCACACCTGGTTGCGCTCACAGGTAATTCTGAAGAACTGCATTGCACTTTCTCATTTCCCATCTGTGAAATGACGGGTGGTTTCAAATGCCAAATTCATACAGGAAATAAGCATAGTGTTTATATTTGATTAACCATTTTGACGTGCTCTATGTGTGTCAAGTTTATATTTGCCTTTTTATTAATTTCAGATTTTAATTAATAGGACTATTTTTTTAAAAAAATACAGTAAATGATACCGATTCCCAGATTATTTTTAGACCATTAATAATCCAATTTGTTTGTTATTTACAAGACAAAAATCTAATTATTTTCCTTGTCAGCTAAGCAACGAACAAACTGATTGTATTTTATATTTTTGTTGTTTTGCAGAACAGTTCACTGTGTCTGGTTTGATGGAAGCAACTCAGATGTTAGTGGATATAGATGGCGATGTCCTTGTGTTCCTGGAGCTGGCTCAGGTATAAGCTACTTGCTTAGAGTCAACCCCAAATTCTCCTTGTTTTGGAATGTTCTTATTCCAGGCCATAATCTGATACTCATCTGATACGTTTTGTGAAGCTCAGTGCTTCTGCACTGACTTGGATAGAATCCTTCTTTTCAAGGGAAGAGTTCACTCACAAGGCGTACAGAGCAAGTCTAAAGTGGCAGAGTTGGGGATCTATGGAGGATAAATTAACAACAATGTTAGGATGACAGACTTTTGTATTCTTCCCCCCACTCCTTTCATTGCCTCCAGTGGAAGAGTCTTGATTAATAGGCAAATCTGTTTTCATTGGCAGAGATGAGAGTTGTACCTTTCAGTAGCCACTCAGCAGCTTTCAAGGGCTCATTGAGTTCTTGCAGTGCTTCCTGCTAGTGCTGCTTCATAACATCTCGGTAACTGGGGAAGAGTTATTTCCCTGAGAAAAATAAATTATGCGTATTTTACAAAGCTTTCACCAGCAACTTTCCTGACTTGGTGTCCTCCAGATATGTTGAAGTGCCAGAGGGAGGCGTTTCAATGTCCTTCAGGTGCTTTGAACTTCATTCAGGCACAAGCACCACAGCCAATGGCAAGACAATATGGATGTTAAAATCTACAATTTCTGGAGGACATCAGTTTGCCTGTCCTTCTGGGAAGGGCTATTCCCAGAATTCCCAGGAGGTTAGATAAGACTGTTTGATCACAGCCATTTAGCTTGAGTTGATGGGTTTTCAGTGGTCCAAAAATTCCTGTATCAGAAGAATGAGTAGGGACTGTTTGTAAGTCATACTAAATCATTCTAGATTCTAGCTTCAAAAGGGGCTATAGCATTAGGAGACTCTCTTAATCTTAAGTAATAGACACAGGGTCACATAACAGTACTTGGAAACTGCTTAGTCAGATCAGACAATTTGTCCACCTAGTCCAGTATTTTTTATTCTGATTGATGATGACTTTCCAGGGTCTGAGGCAGAAAAGAGATGCTCTCAAACTGGATCATTCTTTGTCAGCAAAAGTCCAGTAAGGGCAACCAGATACAACTCTTTTCCTCTTTTAGCCCTGATCAAACAAGCCAACCTTATAAACCTTCCCGGAATTTTTAAAATTATTCTTTCACCCCTTCAAAAAAAAGTCCCAGAGGTAGTTTGCTGGTCATCGGTGTATCCAGGCAAAAATCCTTCAGAACTTTTAACAGATTTCTTTCACATGTCCATTCGATAAAGTTTGTTTTTTTATTTATCAAATTTGTCACCGCCCATCTCATTGAAAAGCGGCTCTGGGTGGTTTACAGAAGAGATAAAATCAATTAAAATGCAATATCAAACCATCTTGAATAAATAATAAATCCTTTATTTATCCGTTCGTTGGTTGCTTCGAAGATCTTTTCACATCTTAGCAGAGCTCTTTTGTATATCCAGAAGAAATAAATGATCCAAATCAGTTTCCTGGTTTGGTATCTGTTCACCTCCTTTAGGGGATAAGTCATCCATCAGATCCATGGCAAATAAAATTGTGACTCATGCCAGCATGTCTTCTCTCTCCCCTAGTTCCATGGTGCCTACCAGCTTGCCGATTGGTGCCTCCACCATATCTGCACCAACTATAATAGCATCTGTCGGAAGTTTCCTCGCGAGATGAAAGCAATGTCAGCAGGTTGGTGTGATTTATGAGTTCCTTGGTGTGTGGCTTGCCTTTTAGGCAAAGGAGTTGTGTTTACAAAGGAAAAAAAGAAGGCCCTCTTACCATTTTTCAAGCTTTTTGCGCCAGACGGTGGCCATTCTTGTAATCTCTGTATGCTATCTGTGCATCTGATATTTAGCCCTTTTACTATCTTGGGAGGAAAAAATCTGAAAATGAACCGTCAAAGAAGTTAAGGTCACTTCCCTGCCACCTGTTACTAGGGAGCGAGATTCATTAACCGTTTCTGATTCTCCAAGCTGCTCCTGGTCTTTGTCTTTAATACCAATTTACTCCTCCAAAAGTCGAAGGCAGCTCTTGGAACTAAAACCAGCTACCCTGATTTAATTTTTTTTCCCAACGATTGCATTTTGCAAATATGCCAGGGTTCCTTGTAGTCTGCAAACAATGTATGTAAGCACGCAAACATGTACGCCACGCACCATCATATTGCTGTTGTCATTTGACTTTGCAAACTGCCTTGTGACAGTCCTTCCTACGTTTTACCAGCAATAATAAAAAAAAAAGGCTAAATTTGTATCGATATTGAAGAAATAAGAAATAGAAGGACTCTAGCATTGGACTGGGAATCTTAATTTCTCTGCTGTCTTCCCCTGCAGAAAATCAGGACTACTTTGAGAAACATCGGTGGCCCCCAGTTTGGTACCTGAAGGAAGAGGATCACTTTCAGAGGGCCAGAAAAGAGCGTGAGAAGGAAGACTACCTCCATCAGAAACGGCAGCCGAAGAGACGGTGGCTGTTCTGGAATGCCTCCTCCCCCTCCTCATCAGCAGCCACAGCTTCATCCTCCTCCTCCTCCTCCTCCTCTTCCTCTGCTGTGGTTTGAGGGTTGCACTGCCTACGCTTCGATTGCCCTTTGAAGGAGCGAGCCTACCAGTGCCTGGAATTCCCAAGGCTTGGAGAGATGCCCCTGGCTGAAACCCTCAGTGGAGAAAATCAGCATGAATATCCCTGAGAGGCCGGCGAGATAAACCTGAACAAGAGCAGCTCGGGAGCCAGACCATCCAACATCTCATCCAGAGCTCGGGGCAGCCTCAATTCCTGCCTTGGCTTAGAAGCACAGCAGCTGGAGGCCACCGCCGGTGGAACGGAAGCGGTCCTGTCTCCTCCCAAGAGGCTCGCTAGTCTCGCAGGACAGACCCCCCTTTTACAGGAATGCAGGTGGTTTTGTTGTGTTATTTTTAAGTGGGGAAAAAAATCTGCTTCAAGAAAAATGGAGCCATTCTGTATTGTTTTTAAATTAGTTGCTTTCCCCCCCCTTGGCGAATTTTTTTTTTTTTTAAAGTATGATGTACCTCGCATTGACCATCCTCTGCACCTTAACATTTCAAGCTGCTGCAGATGCTGAAGGTCCCAGGAATTTCTTTTTCTTTCTGGGCTCCTTCTGATGGCCCAGGGGCCACTTTATTTTGGTTCCACTTGCCACCCAGGCTCTTATCTCTAGATGTTTTGCTTTGCAGGGCATGTATCCTGCCAGCAAATGGCTGTGGCCCCTCCCTTCCTGAAAGGTGGACACCCCTAAGAAGGAGATGCTGGCCAAGAGAAGCACAGGTTCTGCAGTGGGGTTCAAGAGCAATGGGGAAAATGGCCCTAGAATAGAAAAACCCGCTTGGCAAGGTGGAAAGCGGCTCTCCCCCCCCCCCCCCCCCTTTTCCCTTAATTTTGTCAGTAGTTTGCAACACAATCTGGAAGACTGGCCAAACAGGGCAGAAGAGGAGAAAAATGAGAGGAAGAAAACAGTATCGGTTCTGGCCAGAATGCTTGGAGGATGCGTTTGGTGTGAAAGAATATAAAACCCCAGCAGTTAATGTGCTGTTTTAATGAAAACAAAACCCCAACCAATACACATCTTGGATTTTAGTGTGGAAGGTCCTGTTGTAATAAATGGTATTTTAAAGACGGAGTTGTGAATTTGTCTGTGACTTAGAAGGGGGAGAGAAAGATGAGAGGGTGACTACTCAGAGTGGTCCTGATAGTTGACCAGCCTAGCTGCAAAGTCTAGCTAGCAGTTGCGTTTACAAAAAGTTAGTGATGGCTGCGAGGAGGCCATGGGAGTGACTTGCATTGTAACTTGAATTTCTTCAAGGCCTATCATGAGACCCAAACTATAAACTCTGATCTTGGCATTAAAAGTTCCAAATACTTATATCTATTTACCCCACCTGCACTTACAAAAGCAAGTTTGAAAATGTGCAGCCAACTAGGTTTTCAGATATTTCCCCCCCATGCTGGTACCTAGAGTAGGATACAGAATGTTCTCCTAGGCTGTTCCTCAGACTGGTGCTGTCAAGTTTATCCAATTTCCTGCCTTCAAATTACCTCCTGGTATCTTTAAACTGTTGCTATGAAGGTTTAGGGCAGTGTTTCTCAACCTTGGGAGCTTGAAGATGTGTGGACTTCAACTCCCAGAATTCCCCAGCTGGCTTCAAGCTCCCAAGGTTGAGAAACACTGGTTTAGGGCATGGATCCATACATGCAAGAGACGTGCTTCCCCGTGCTGATAAACTGACTGGGTTCATACCTCATGCTAAACAATAATGTGCTCTGAAACAAGGCCAAAGGTGACATGTTATATACCCCCAGATTCAAGTCGGATTTTAGAATCTCTGCAGGGAGAACCATAAACATAGTTCCAGTTGCCACAGCATTGATGAAAACATATTTCCAAGCAACCTCCTCAATTTTCAAAAATAAGTCCACTCTTTGACAAGCTTAAGCTTTGAACAGCATGTATAAATGGTGAGCAAGCAGCCAGATCTAAAGCAAAGTGAATGGATTTGAAGATCAACCCATGTAATCTATTGATACAAACAATAGATGGGTTGAAAGCACCTCAGTGTTTTAAAAAATTCCTTTTATCGAGGTAGATAGAAATAAGCAACAAGTTCTGAGTTCAGACCCTGGAAAGGACATGGTTTTGTTTTCATGCTTAGAAACCCTCAAGGGGCCTCCCCCCAATGAGGGGGAAAAGATGGTGGGAATCAAATTTTCATTGCATTCAAATTTATTGTTCTACATCTGGGTTTTTTTTAAATTGGGTGTTAGTTTTACACTCCATAAACACTCTGAAGTCTATCTTGTATCCGTGTGAGTCGGTCACAAATTTCAGGAACATAGGAGCAAGCGAGCCTGTGTTTAAACAAAGCCAATTCCAGGTTTGGGACACACGGACTACGCAAGGCACCCTTACCGTGACCCAGTAATTAGTATGAGACCAATTATTTCCCCTCTACATGAGTTGGGCTACAATTTTCAGAATTCCCAGTTGGCATCAATTCTTGGAAAACTGTTGAATTAAATGGTAATGTTGATAACACACGGGTTTGTACAGTATGTGTGTGTGGTATTCACTCATAATTGGCAAAACTGAGTACCTAAGCATCTTCTGCCATTTTTTTCCTGTAATTAATTCACCTTTGGAATTTGCTACAAGATGTGGTGCTGGCCACCAGCTTAGCCGGCTTCAAAAAAACACAAAAGCCAGGGAGGAGTTAACATCAATAGCCTGAAAAACAATACAAGATCATTCCTTCTTTTGTTTGTTTAACATTAGAAATATATCTTAAAATGCCCTGAAGATCTCTTAATAGATTGTACAACAGTGTGCAATTTTTAATTTTTGTTTTATTACAAAATTGAATTTTAGATGGCTTCATGAACAAGTACCTACTTTCAAGAATTTCATCCTAACTTTGAATAGAATAAGCAAAAACCAAGACAGCATATTAAACAAGGAGTTATATAAAGTTACAGAACTGGGTACAGCTCCATTGCCTAAAAATATTTAATTAAGCTAACCAAATAAAGAGAACACAAAATAGAAACAAAACAGATAGCAGAACTATAGTATAAATATCTAGCAATAAATAACCGTCTTCGGGTTACTATATACATATACTATATACATTTTGTTAAATTAATCTTTGATCTTCCAGCAGATGACAGCAAATGCAGTGTTCTACTTGTTGGCAGGATCCAGCTGCCACCAGCTTTAAGTTGGGAAGCAGATTTGGGCTTGTCATCCCCTTTTGGGTTCAACCAATGTAGTTTTTAATCTCTTCCTACGTTGCCAAAGTCTCAATTTTTTTCTGCAAGCACCGTTGAAACCAGACAGAAAAATATTCATATCTATAAACCTGCAGGGGCTTAATTTTTTTTTTTGATGGAACCAAAGAGGACCATTTTAAAAGTTCCCAGCAACTGAGGTTTCACATAAATGTGTGTGTGTGTGGGGGGGGGGGATCAATCTATGCTGCTTCCTTTCCCCTTGTTTGGAAGTGTTGCATGTGGCTCTTTTCCTAAACTCCCTAGAAATGGGACAAACTACTAGGAACCCGCACAGCATGGTACTGAAGCTGGATCAGATCAATGCTTAACGCAGCCCAGCTTCTCAATGGTTGCCAACTACAAAGCCCAAGAGCAAAACATCACCATCTTCCCCCGCTATTATTTCCAGAGCATTGATGATATACCTTTCCTGATCCTGGGGGCTCCATCTAACCATCACGGTTATTAGCTATTTTCAAAGCTTGCAGCCTCGAATTTAGAGCCATCTCTTGAATATCTATCCCAAGCTTTGCAAACAACAAGCATTTTTCTAGAGGACTGAGTCAGGGCAAAGAAAACAGTGGGCTTCTCTCCTAGGGTGATTTTGCCACATAGCAGAATCAGAGGAGATTGTCCTTCAATGTGATGGGTGGAGGGGAGGAAATGGAGAATACAGTACCGCCCCCCCCCCACCCCGGCACAGAGAATAGAACACAAACATTTATAACCTCAAATAACTGCTTGTAAATACATGGATTGTAATAGGCCAATCTTCACCTCATGTCACAAATTAATAATTTACAAAATAAAATATTCATCAACTTATTTTTAAAATTGCTACAAATAAAACTTGTCATATTTACAACAAATCAGAAATAGGCCTTGCATTAAAGAACTTCCGTTAACCATGGTAGGATTTTTTTAAAACATTTTGGTCTTAAAGATAAGCAACTTTTGCTCCTTTTTTGACTTATATAATGACAACAAATACCTGCACATATTTCTAAGAAACTCAAATTAACATCTTAGTGTATTTTAAAACAATAACTAAGGCTGGATTCATCAAAAATACATGTTCCCTTGCTTGGGTTCTGGATTCCACATCATGATGCTGCAGAACATAAATTAATGCTGCTGTAAACAAGCAGGAAAATCTTTTTTTCCCCATATCTTCTCTAGCTTCATACTGAATAGATTCCTGGAGACCTCCAAAGTGCATTAAGAATAATCGTTCTTTTAAGAGAAAAGTATCATTGTTTGCCTAAAACCTGGGCTGGAAGACAGTCACGGGCATAGCATTTCATTTCCTGAGCACCCTAATTTTCACTGAATTAAAAAGAAGCAAAAATGTTTCTAGCCCTCACTGAAGAAATACGCTTGAAGGTATTTAAGAGGGAAGTTCTAGAGGAGCTCCTGAATATACTTCATTGAACTGAAGGGAAGTATATTGCTTCGGCTGTACACCCAAACTCCCAGAGGCATATGTGCAAGAAATCAGTTTTGAAGATTTGATTGCACAGGAAAGCTACATTCAGCCGAAAACATCTGAAAAATTTCACAGTGTCAATAGAATAGCAAATGCTAGCCCATCTTCTCAAGCTAAAGAATTGTTCTTATTTGTGGAGGCTCCTTTGTTCATTGAATAGCAGCAGGATTTAAAAGCAAACATATTATACATATTTGCACAGAAATGATTTGGCTCGAAGAGAATTGCATGGCCATAAACCTGCTTTCTCCCCATCACATTCAAAAGGGCAGATCTCAGCATATCAAAACTTAGCCGAGACAAATCATTCTTTGAAAAAATACAAAATTCATACTGTTAATTGAAAACGTTTGTAATCCAAACAATTTCATGGGGGGAAAAGAAATCTTTTCAGTAGAGAAAATATGGTCTGCACTGAAAACAATGAGACCTTCAAAATAAAGCCAGTATAAATACGATTGACAGTTCCTGAAAATTCAAAGCTAGCAGAGACTTGGATCTGGAAAGCTGCTTCTGCATGTCCCATGAGGTGGCACTTCTTAAAGGAGTGGTGTTTTGGGGTGACCTTACAGAGCAGCTGTACCATCCTGAGAAAACAGCCTGAATAAAGGAAGTGTCAGTAGGGTCCAGAGCACAGGGTGTAGCCAACTGATTGGGACCAGACATGGCATACTGTTGGCACCTCTTTAACTCAAGTTTGTACTTTCCCAGGATTGAATAGATATTGTGCAAAGGCTAGGAAAAGACACTTTCTGTAAGGACGTGCCAACAGTTGTGGCCGGCACACCCACATTTGGTCTGAAAGCACCTTTGGGCTTTGGGTCTAATGTGCATCACAGCCCTAGTTGCCAGTATAAAGACTTCCCGGAAAGGCATGCACAGAAGGCCTCTTACCGATTACATTTATTTTAAAATGTAAACAATGTTTGGTTTGCTGAGAAGCAACCGGCAGCCCAACTTGTTCTTCACACTCCTCCAGGTGGGCAAAATACTGGTTTCAGGCGTACAGGCAAGTCCTAGAAGGGGCCACCTAGCTAAGAACTCGCTCTTCATAGACATATAAACCTTCACTGATGAGGGCTGATTTAACTTGTTCCATAACACCCTTGAGGTCCATGGCACAGAGCGTCTCCAGAAGAACATTCACAGATGCGGTCCGCCCATTCTTGTCCAGCCAAGTCCGTAGCATTTGATAATATTGCTCCTTCACATTTCTTTCAGATTTTTCCGCAGAAAAGATTTCATTTTCAGTCAAGCCGAGGGCTCTCATGAACCTCTTCCATTCCCCGAAAGGCACCTCTTTAATGAAGGTGTAAAACGATTGTCTCAGAGCTGGAATGATGATAAATTGTGAGTTAGATGAATGAAACAGGTTCTACAGGAGGAGGAGGAGGAGGAGGAGGAGGAGGAGGAAGAAGAAGAAGGAGAGAGTATGTTAGTCCTCAGGACTGGCTCTTGTTTCCTAAGTCAATCAAAGGCATCTACAGAATGGGGAAATCCTCCTGTTTGAAACCCTGGAGAGTTGCTGCTGGATACACAGAACATCTATCTTTCTCCATCTTTAGTGGTGAAATTCTAGCACTTGTTTCTCCATTTGCTTATGTACTGGACAAACCAGAGGGAACTCTGTGACTTGTATCTCTCAGGGTCATGTTGAATGACACATTCAGTTGCCCAGGATAAAGATTTTCCTGGGGACATACAACCGCCTCCTCCTTCAGAAAGTCATTTGTTCTTTTCCAACACTTTTCAATATGCTCCAACAATGTTGAGAAGAACTGGATATCCCATACAGAGTATGGGGAAATAAGCATGTGTAAACATTTTCAAATAGGAACAACATTCATTCCTTCTTAATCAGGCACACCTAATAGGAAATAAATCCTAACTGGATTGTAGTAAAAATTGAGCCACTGAGAAACAAAACGGAGGTATCGATGGGCTTGGGGTGATTGCAAAGATTTCAGAAGTCCCATTAAATATGAAAAATAATCTCCCCCCTTCCCCTGAACCAGTCAAATGAGGCTGAGCACATTCAGCATCCATAAAACATTGGATCTTATTTGGGGAAAAAAAAAAGAAAGAAAGAAAAGTGAGGAAGGGAATGGAGTATCCTGGGATGGGTCAGTGCTGGCAAACTGATCAGAAGCATTTCTAACAGGAAGGAACAGATTACAATGTTGGATTGCAAATCCACTTATTATATATCTAATGAGAGCCAGTTTGGTGTAGTAGTTAAGGCATCAGGCTAGAAACTGGGAGACCGTGAGTTCTAGTCCTGCCTTGGACACAAAGCCAGTTGGGCGACCTTGGGGCAGTCCCTCTCTCTCTTGGCCCTAGGAAGAAGGCGGCAGTGGCAAACCACTTCTGAAAAACCTTGTCAAGAAAACTGCAGGGACTTGTCCAGGCAGTCTCTGAGAATCAGACATGAGTGAACAAATCTCCCCCTCTCCCTCTCTGTATTCTAGCAAAAGGAATCAGGGATAACTTGTAAGAATTTAAGACCATTTACCTTCTTCTGAGTTCCTGCCATTTGCAGGAACCAAATTCCTCTCTTCTGCAGATTCTGGATCTTCCTATAATGAAAAAGAATAGAATCCAACTGTACTTATGAAATTAGTAAGATAACTGATAGGAGGAGGCTGGGAAGAGGCAAAAGATATGACTAACAATCACAGCATTTTTCATCTTAGTTACCTCCCTGAGAAGGGAAGCGGTTGCTAGATGCATTGGTTCACATGCTCCTGTGATGAGAGGTACACCATTTGGCGAAAGCTGGTTGGGCCCCTGGTCCCTTTGGGCGTTCAACACATTGTCACGTTCTTCCCTTTGCTCTTGACTGGGATTCCTCAGCAGATATTGGAATAATTGGGTAATCTTGCAAGAAAGAAACATATAGTACATTTACGAGCCATAAAAAATATATATATATAAGTATTAGTTTGTCAAATTTTAAGGGTGTACGCATCTCATTATGTATAAGAAGCAAGTCTCACTGAATTAAACGACATTCCAAACATTCGTTTATTCTTTTCCACTTAACCGAAGATGCCTTTTTGACTGTTCCTTTTATGCAGGATATTGTGGGTAGCAATATTCAATAAAGTAAGGGTTCATTTTGAGAAATAAGACAATCCCAGTTGAGTGGAGAATCATTACCAATTGTAATTGTTTCAGCAATTCATTTTAACAGTAAGGAGATATGCTACCAAACTATACAGATAAGTCTGTTACGGACAAAGAAAGGTAACCAGATTTGTAGATGACTATTCTGCTTGGATACCTGACTAGTCTGATCCCCTTGAAGAGGATATATTTGCAACATAGTTCATTCAAACATCACGAGAAGGAATGAACAATACAAAATACATGGAAGTACAGTAGATTAACCCAAAAGAATGTCTTACACAAAGAGTGATATTTGCTATCCCTATCTTGGCTAAAGGTTCTCTCTTTTCCATTTTCAACTTGAGTTTCTATGATGTTCCTTAGTTTAATACAGACCTACGAACAGCCTCTTGGAACGTAACCTGTTCGTAAGTAGGGGACTATCTGTATGTGGAAAGGGGAAATCTTCAAAAATAAAACTCTCTCACTACTTGTATGTATTCTTACAACCAAGAACCACATGACTGTCATATAATTTCATTTCTTTTAGCAACTTAGAAGTTGCCCAACTACTGATGACTCTGGACATTTTACAAAGAGAGCACAGTACCAGAAAAGAGAAAAAGATTCATAAGTGCCTAGAGACAACCATATAAACAAAACCCCATCCAACGGGGGCTCCACATTCAACCTACCCAAGACCTGGGAGAACAGCCAGGTCTTCAGTAGTTTCCTGAACACCATCAGGGTGGGAGTCATCCAAATATGTATCTGGGGGATATTATTCCAGAGACCAGGTGCCACAACAAAGGCATGTTTCTTGGGTCCCGCTAGATGGCACTGCTTAATCAATTGGACCCAAAGCACACCCATTCTGTCTGATCTCACTGGATGGACAGAAACATCTGGAGACAGGCAGTCCCAAAGTAACCTGTCCCTACACCATGAAGAGCTTTATAGGTGATGACCAACCCTTTGAATTGCACTCAGAAGCCTACAGGTAACCAGTGCAGCTTGTGGAGCAGTAGGATCACATGGGCATGACAAGCATGGCCACCACTAAGATACACTGCCACATTTTGGACTAGCTGTAGTTTCTGAGTAGTCCTCAAGGGCAGCTCCATATATAATGGCGCTAGAGATATTCCACTGTGAAAGTTGGATACATTTCTTTCCAGCAAAACATTTCCTCTCTTTATCTTTCCACCAATTTTTTTTTTTTAAAGATCTCTTCCTCCTGCGAAGCTGTACGGTAATGCTCAATGACGATGCAATCATAATTTCATTCCATCGTAACGTAATTTTGTGCAATCGTCATGTAATTGTAACAGGATCTCACAACATGCAGAGCTCAATGACACCATATATTTTATGTATGCAAAAAAATCTCATATTCTATGACTAAGGAGAGAAGGCTGAAAAAGAATCACACTTGATACATTGAAAGATCACACCCAATTCAGACAGACAATAATGAACAAATGGACTGACTTCCCAGGTTATAAGGTTGCGTCTCTTACAAAGTCATGGAACTGAAAAAGTCCACTCATCCAATATTACTTCTACCATCTCCAGAGAAGGAAACTGTTCTTACCTTGGGCCTCCAGACATTTATGTAAGCTGTAAGAGAAAACAGGATAGTATAGAAACATTTAACCGGCAGAGCAGTGATCACACGTGGATGCGTTAAAAAGACATTTAAGTAAATGCATTAAAAAGAGATTTAAAACATTTAATTCACGTGCAAAGTGTTGCATGCATGGAGCAGTTGGTTTGGGCTGGCTTGTGCCCAAACTGGAATATGCGCATTTGTTCTGAATACAGAACAAAATAGGTCTGCTTTGCTCCAGAGGGGGCAGAAGTATTTGAGGGTATGAAGATGGCAAGGATGGGAATAAACCAAGGCTGAGGGGTTATCTGGAGTTCAGCAACTGCTGAAGGGAAGAGAAGGTGTTGGGAGGATCTGGAGTCAGGAGGGCGAGTGGGATATTATAGTATTATGATGATGATGACACTCAACTCCCAATGACTCTGGGCAGTTACAGATATAAAATGTTAAAAACAAGGGAAAAAATATGCCGCCCTGGGAGCTGCTGAGACTATCACGTGGAAGAAGCAATGAAGACACCATATATCCTTGCTTCTGGAGAAGGTGAGAGCCAGGGTGACATGCACCAGCTCTGCAATACCACCCTGGGATCCCTGCAGGTTTTGTTTTGGCTAAACAGCAGCAAAAATGCCCTGGGTTTTGCTCCTGCTGAACCATGGCTGATTCAAAATGAGTCATCAATTATTTCCAGAATGAGACGTGTTGTTTGAGGCTCAAAACGAAACAACTCCCTACTTTAAGTGACCAGCCAAAAGTGGAAGTTTCCATTGCCCAATGGTGCCCAGGTCTGCATTTCAAGAGTTTCTGAGTGTGCATGCATGTTAATTTTGACTTTCTTTCCCCCCTCCTAAAATCACATTAGACAAAGCCCCATCCCTTGTATATCAAGCAAGGCTAGTGTGTGATGAGAAGGCAAACCTCAACAAGCATATTGTTACACAGAAACCATTAAAGATGTGAAGCAATGTATGGAAAGCCAGGTCTCATACAGCCAAAAACAAAATAGTCTGATACCAGATTTGGCTATTACCAAACCAAAGAACAGATGGAAGTTGTTCCTCCTGCCCCAAAGAGTTGCTTCTAACCCTTTATGTTGAGCTGGTGGGAGAAGAATTTCAGACACATTTGATACTCAGCAGATGCTGGATTTCTTTCATAATGGTTTCTTAGGTTTCTTATAATACATCAAAAATCCTTATAACCTTGTGTGCCTATTTATCTGTTCCAATCCAGCTTGCCCCGGGATGGGGTGGGGGGTGGGAACAGGACTTGACAATAAGATCAACAGCAACACTAGTTTCCTATAATCAACACTGGGACAAACGAGACCCTCCAATTCTTATTTTTAAGTGAAAAAAAAACCCTTTGAATTGTATGCTGGATTCTCCCCCAGATTCTAGAAGATCTGCTGATGTATTCTAACTCAGACAATTTCGCTTGTAAAGCACTGGGGGAGAAGACAGGAATTCTTGCAACAGGCTAGCAAACACGCAAGAGCTTCACCAAATCTCCACCTACATGAAGATGTTGAGGGAGATAGGTCATTAATTTAAACTCATGTTAAAGAGACATTTGATTCAATCTAGCAAGGGAATTTTTACACTCCAAAACGAGCAAATAAAAACGGTAAATAATACAGCCAAGTAAGGCTGACCTCAGATCAAGTTTCTCCACCTTTTCCCCGTATATATTTGAGCCGTACATACTATACAGAGCAGGGTAGCAGAATTCTAGACTCTAACTTTTGAGCACTGTACTGTTGAGGGCCCCTTCTTTGTTTTTTCATGATCCTGCCTCGTAAAAAGCTCTTTGCAAATCACTATCCAAGTAAGGGCTACGTTAAATGTCCTTACCATTTGCAGTCTCAGCAAAAACAAAAGAAGAAAATAGTAGTGTGGTACCTCGGGTTACGAACGCCTCTGTTAACGAACTTTTCGGATTACGACCAACTCCGGGCGCAAAAATTTACCTCGGTTTGCGAACTCCGCCTTGGGTTACAAACCAGATCCGTGGCCATTTTCCCTCCCATGACACGGTCCACGGCCATTTTTCTGCCCGACACGTGGTCCGCGGCCATTTTCCGCCTGACACGTGGTCTGCGGCCATTTTTCCGCCCCAACACGTGGTCCGCGGCCATTTTCCGCCCCTGACATGTGGTCCGCGGCCATTTTCCGCCCGACACGTGGTCCGCGGCCATTTTTCCACCCCTGACACGTGGTCCGCGGCCATTTTCCGCCCCTGACATGTGGTCCGCGGCCATTTTCCGCCCGACACGTGGTCCGCGGCCATTTTTCCACCCCTGACACGTGGTCCGCGGCCATTTTCCGCCCCTGACATGTGGTCCGCGGCCATTTTCCGCCCGACACGTGGTCCGCGGCCATTTTTCCACCCCTGACACGTGGTCCGCGGCCATTTTCCGCCCCTGACATGTGGTCCGCGGCCATTTTCCGCCCGACACGTGGTCCGCGGCCATTTTTCCACCCCTGACACGTGGTCCGCGGCCATTTTCCGCCCCTGACACATGGTCATAGGGAGGGGGACTCTCCCTCCAAGCAATAGCCAGCTCCCTGTCCTCCACGCCAGAATGGATTAACGGTAATTACATTGAACCTTATGGGGACATTTGCTTCGGGTTGCGACCAATTCGGGCTGCGACCAGAGTCACGGAACGAATCAAGTTTGTAACCCGAGGTACCACTGTATTCTTACCATTTTTGAGGCGTGAGTATTGCCAACAGAACAATGCCATGGCCAGCACTATCAGCCCAGACAAAGAGAGAAGGACCCATAGAAGATGTTCTGATCCAGGGGAACCTTAAAAGGAAGGGGAAGAAAGGCAAATACACAGATTTAGATAGCATGATGCTCCAAATTGGGTCCTGTACTGGCTTCTGGGGGGATGCGGTGGTGCAGCAGCTTAATGACGCTGAAAGTTGCCGGCCAGAAATGGTCTACGCTTCAGCGGTTCGA